TCCCTCTTCATTTTTAATTTCTTAAAACAAAGAGGCCCCATCTGGCTCACGCATACAGCCGTAGCAAACGGTTTACAAAGGTGAACTGCCAAATTTCCTGTTACACATTTCGAGAGAGAAAACAAACATGCCTGCAATCAAAGCGACAGGGCAATTTGATCTGTCTTCTCAAGATGGCGCTGGGCGGTGGCGGTGGCCGCCCTCTACCCCGCGTGGATGGATGGGTGGATGCCGGGTGTTCCCAAGATCCCTTTCATCTGACTTTGGCCAGGGGCAGATGGATTTGAGGGGTGTGTGTGGGGGGGGTCCCGTTGTTCCTTCCAGAGAATGCTAGGAGACCCATGACCCCGTCAGTCACCTTTCTTTAATTAAAGAATTAAAGCAAGTTTTGAATGAAAGCGAGGGTCCCAGAATGGAAACCTCTGTGGATGTTGATATTGGAGGGGAGAGGCCGTAGGCTGGAATCGGAGCTGGGAATCCTATGGCCTGGAGGGCCACCTGTGTGGCTTCCCGTTCACCCTGATGTCTGGGCTAGAGGACAGAGAAGCAATAGAAGAAAAATACGTCCTGCCCTGCTTAAAAAAAAAATATCGTCCTCTGAGAGCCGTTTGCAGCAGGCTACAAAACTCAGCCTCGTCTCCCTCTGAAATACTGAAATGCTACTGTCAAGCAAGCGGGTGCGGGGTGGGGTGGGAAGTTCGGATCTGTCTCCATGGGGACGAGACGGGGAGATGGCCAGTCAGAATCCCAGGAGCCTAAGGCCCGTCTTATGGGACCCCATCCTCAGGCGGGGGAGAGGAGGCTCCTGCAGCCATCCAGCGGCTTGGTTCTCTTCCCCCCACGGGCGGGCCTGTGATGGATTCCACCGAGCCGGCCCCATTTTTCTCCCTCCTCTGGTGCAAAAGGGCCTTTTGCTTTCTGAGGCAAACTGAATAATAGGACGTATAAAAAACACATAAATTTCCATACAAATACCTTCTTTACCGGCCGTAATGAAGACATTTGCATGTAAAGAGAATATT